TTTCAAACATTCTCTACTGAGCAAACTGGTAGTTCTTTGATTACTAAAAATGAATAATCTCAGTTCTGGCTGAACTCCAAAACATAAGCAATTTCTTCTGCTGTCTCAGCTATTCTCCTGATGTCAAAGACACATTAAAATAAATGTAAACCATATGGCTACTCGGCAGATTACTAGCACTCTTGCATCAATGAGGGCAAAGCAATTCATTGTCACCATCACAGAAATCTCTTAGGCATGTGAACATTCCTAAGGGCTGGGAAAAAGCTGCAGCCTTTTGAATTAAAACTGTCTTAGACAGGAGGAAACACTGCTTTACTTATACTCCACAATCCCATTTGTCTATTTTTTTACATACTTTTAGCACCACATAAAATGTTGTGGCAAGAAGAATTAACACCGATCTCCACCTGCTCATTGACTGCCATGCAGTGTTCAACCACGTTTAGTGACGCAGAAGGCAGAGCCTCACATCCCTGGAAACCCACAATCTTCTTTGAAAACAAACAAACAAACAAACAAAAACCTTGGGCAATTAGCATATTCCAGAAATTGCTTCTATGCTCCTTCACCACTTCTGAAGATATACTTTTAACAGACTCCATATATTAAAAATTTAAAGCCCTTAACAATTAAATGCCTTTCCAACAAAACCGGAAATCCTCCTTAGGAGGAAATGCTGTGACATACCGTATCTTGAGGGCAAGCATGGCATATTCAGAAAGGAGCAACATGAGGGCTGGAAATTGGGCAGGACAGGCACAATATTGCACAACAGTAATGCTGACCCTAACAGAGCTTCACTGCTCCATCCTTCTGGTACCTCCCTCTGCGGTAAATCCAAGGCTAAATTCATCCCACAGCAGTGGCTGGATGGGGATGCTCACATAATGCCAGATTTGCACTGCACTTCAGAAATGGTTTCTGAAAAAGACTAGTTCACAGGCAGCTCTGACTTTTGACAATTTTCACCTGAGCTTCAGTTAAGATTTGACCCCATTGTCAGAGTTTTGTTTAAAATTTTACAGAAATGTTACAATTCTTTGCATGCCGAAAGCTGGAAATGCACCGCGGAAATCTCAAAGAAAGCTGCATGTTTCCTTCCTCACCGTCCTCTATCTGCAGCAGGCTTTCCTTTGACACTCGCTACAATGGCACAGACTGTGCTCTGCAATATAATCAGCCTGCAGAGAGAACTGGAGACAGTTAACCGCTCCCTGCCTCCCCAGTTGCTCTAAATGCCAGCTGCCGTTTCCTGGATGATTATTTCTGACCTTGGCCCCAGCTCTGAGCACTGTGAGGATGCCACCATCCTTGCAGGAACGCCTATGCATAACAATTGCATTTGCCGAACTCTCCTAAGACTACAGTTGGTCCTTTGTCCAACATTATGGAGACTTGTGTGATCAGCCATTGGATACAAATACGACTCCAGTCAACTCTCCATTAATTTGCATTTTCAGGCATTTTGCATATGTGATGAACGTCTTTAACGAATGCATTGTTTAAAGGAAAAATTGCCCTGTGTGTATTGCATGACATGTACTAATTTATATGAAATTTTCAAAAATACAAAATAGAATTAAAAACACAAATCCTTCTAAAAATCAGCCAGCCTCCTAATGCCTCTCCTACATTCCTTCTCTTGCAGTCATTACTCCAGGTGAAAGACAGCAGGTGGGATCTCTTGCATACCTTGCCCTTTCACTCTGTATGAGCATTTGACCTCTGAGAAATTTACTCCACTGAATTTCTTTGCATTTCTTGGTATTTCTCGCCCAGACACATTCACTTCTTTGAAATCAAAATCGAGACTCTCTAAGCCTGGTTGTACTTCCTAATGCAAGTTAACAAATGATGAGGAGAATGTATTCCTGATTAGCAAGGAAATTCCAAGCCTTGTGGCAGCAACATGAGTATTTGCAAAATGCCCTGAAAAAAAAAACACCTGCATTTAGCTGTACTTCCTAAGTTTTCCCCTATAACAAGCTAGCATTTCCATGTCCAACTCCTTGAGATTTCTATCATTAACCATAAATTAAACAACAGCTTTAAGCTCAAGGCTTGGGTAATGTCTTCTGCTATGGACCCCACATCAAATTAAACTTCAGCCTTCACATAAAGGTAATTTAAGAGAATTCAAACCTTCCTAGCGAATGTCCAAAGATTTGATACCTTCTTCCAAACTCTTACATGGCCACACAAATGAAGCAATTTTAATTTTCCAGAGGCCTTACAATACTCCAAACTGTACTCCTAAGGAAAGAAGAACAGTGAGGATGTACCTGTATTTCAGAATCCTTCCAGTTGTCTTTAATAGTAAAATCAATACTGGTCAGCTTAATAACCTTACATAAGATGGACATTCTTCTCCTCTCTGATATGGAGAGGTGCTGTGAAATGGGACACATAAGCAGACTGGTGATTGATAACAGGGTTTGGCATTCATTAAGGTAAACCTATGGTGTGAGTAATTGCCTGCTGGGTGAAACTGAAATGACCTCAGTAGACTGAGAACAACAAATAAAAGAAGGTAAGGTGTGTGTCTGTCACTGTGAATGCAGGTGATCACCATTTGATATGAGAATTGAAAAAGTGAACATGTATATACATCTATATATACACATCTGACTGAGAAAAAGCAAAATTTACTGATTTTATGGTTATGGACGCAGTAACAGTTGCCTGCGCTTTACGGAGCACTCTGTATTTTATATAAATACATATACTAGACTCACCCTAAACCCACCTGGCAATGAAAACTCTGAAGCAGTAAGCAGCAACTACTTTATTTAGCAGAAGCAGACTGCAATTTCATTTCATGATTCAGAAGATGCCTACAACATGCACTGTTGCTGCCTTGATCTGTTTGAATGGATATCTTGTTAAAGAAACTCTGTACCTACCCCTTTGTAGAAGCCCCAACAGACATCACTCATAGACATCTTAGTTATGTGCTTTCTGCAATCACACTACAGGTATAGTTATTTGCATCAAAGCTATATTCTAGTGTTTCTGCCACATCTGAATGATCCACAGCAGCTATATTCCTTGTATAGCTGAGAGGCTGAACTGAGCTTAAGGCTAATGGAGCACGATAGCTGAAACATTCTTGTTTATCTGTGCTAACAGGTAATAAACAGGTAATGTTTAAGGATCTTATAAATACTGAGATGCATCGGTGATTGTAGACAGCTTTATAAACCAGCTGCCTGCTCACTCATGCATCAACAAAGCTATAGCTACAAGTGATTTAAAAATTATCTTTTTTTAGGCCAATTAAAAAGGAAAAATAAGATTTAGAGGGCCACATGAAGGCTTTTAAAAGCAAGTTACAGATATAACATGTAGATTTTGATGTTGACTACAGGTCACTGTGACACTCACAAAAACCACACTGCCAGTCACTAAAGGATGGATGATGGTACTTCAGATTTGCTTATATGAAGGAAGACACTGCCAGCTGATACATACATATGGACCTCTACTCGTAACACTCAGAAACGTTATATTTTCCCCCATTTTTATTCAGAAATCAAGCCATTTATTGTGTCAATTATAAACAAAGCTCACTGTTATATGCATATATTACAACGTCTCTCAACTTTCTCCTCTGAATTGCAAGCTTTCTTTGCGTATTCACAATAGAATTGCTGTCTTCTATGTGGGTGGCAATGACTGATGTACAAGGGCTGCTTTCAGTCTGCAATGAATAATCATTAAAGTCTCTTAATAGATGCAAAAGTTAAAAGATCAGCATGTAGAGAATATTACCATCAAACTATTTCCTGTTACTACTAGCAAGATTTACTGGGTCACTTACTCCTTTATAGCATTTCCACAATATAAAGTCTCCTACTAAAACCGAGTCTTAAATATAATACACTTCATCAAGAGTTTTTTACAAGTAAACCCATTAGAAAAGTTGCACCTGCGTAACCCTTTTTGGAGGAGCATTCCATAACAGAACAGAGGATTTGGACACTCACACCCAGCTCCTAGCTCAAACTGCACTGCAGCATTAGGCAGACAAACCAACTGTAAGAGCCTTCATACCACATGGTACAAACATGACTCCTGGACACAAGCTAAACCACCAGTTGGAAGCATCACACAGTACATGGGTGGTGACAAGGGCGCCTCATCTATTCCTTAGTCCACAGTTCTAAGAAACAGCTTTATGGCCACTATCTTCAGTACACAGATTTATATATAGCAGAGTCGAAGCACGAAAAACCCAGCTTTTAAAAACATACAGTTCACCATCAAAACAGCAAAGCCAACTGCAACATGCATTATAAACTACAAAACGTAAATTAATTTGTCATACATGTATAATATGTATATATATGCATATACCTGTTGCCCACATAGCCTACATAGCTTTGGTAACTTAAGAACAAATGTTTATCTGAGCATAAAAGAATTGCTGAGTACAGATGTTCTCCTCTTCATGAAGAACAGAAACTACTGCAATAACAGATGTCTCTGTGTCTCTGTGACTAATACACAAAGTTGCTCCATTCAAAACAAACAGACAAACAAAAAAGAAAACCTAACCCCAACCAACCAAAGAAAAAAAAAAAAGCGTTATCTACCTTGGAGGAGATCTCTTGCTAATACAATACTTTGCAGATAGCTGACAGTTGTCCAAGGAAAATAACTAAACTTACCTACAGCATCTTCTGTACAGCACACGCTTGAAATACCGTAAGCACAATTCCCAGTGTTTGCTATGAGCATACATGTAATTCAAACAGCAAACAGTTAGGGCCTTCCAAGTGACTTCACATTTTTACAACTACAGATAGCTGTACACAGGTAACGTGAAGGCAAAAGGATACAAGTCTGCTAAGTCATTCTGAGCAAGTCACAAGCTCTCTGAAAGTAAATTTTGTCATCTCTTCAATTTTAAATCATCATCTCTACTAAACTAAAATGGCAAATTTTATTTTGAGGAACAGAAAGAATTTTGTTTGATACAGAACATTGGTACTTACGGGTAAAATGGTTAGAAGTGGATGGATTGACACTATCACCACTGTCAGCGCTTTCACTGCTAGAAATGTCATCGTCTGATTCCCGTACAGAGGAACAAGGTGAGGAGCCATCAACTTCTTCAAACTTCCTCTTCAAAATTCCACTCATTGCTGCAATGCTGTCACATGCACCTGTAACAGGAACAGGGGTAATGAAGTATGGAAACATCCAACTGCAGAATATTCAGTCATATTCTCCTGAGTCATTTTTGTTTAGAAGTACCAGTAAGTTGCCACATCTCATCTTAAATAGCCATTTAGTATGTGATTAGATATAATTAGGAGACTGTGAAGCCACATGAAAAAAACAAACGTTCATACATCAGATTCTAACTTGCTACCTATGGGGATGGATTTTATTTAGATGTTTATTTAGAACAACATGCAGCAAATTGCTTTCAAGGGTTATTTCTGACATTTTCAAGTTACCTCTTTTTATGAAAAGCACAACCATTTAATTTTAAATACAGACTTTCTACAGGCCAGTGAGAATCATGACTGCAACTGCCCAATGTTGTGCATCATCTGTGGGGTGCTCAGCAGCCCTGACTTCCATAGACATGAGCTCCAGCAAAGGTTACGTTGGGACACTTCAAACAAAGAAGAATTTGGAGTTGCTCTTCAAACACCCTCACTTGGAAGAAAGGAACATTCACCATGAGAAATGAAATTACATAAGAACATTACAGCTCTCACTGCCAAATATATGTAATGTAGTTTGTGCTTACATCACACCTGCAAGGAATCAAAAGTATTCTCTGACAATTTCAATAATACAGATAGACATACGGCAATGAAGTCACAAAGACGGCATATAATTTTAGAAACCCTTGGAATTCAAAAGTTCCCCACTCCAGTCACACACTAATTGCTTCCTGATCTTCTCCATCCCACTTTAAGAAATGAGATACCTAATAAAGCTGCTGAGGTTGCAAAAAAAGTTTATAAGGCTAAGTATTCCAGCAAGAAATTTAGCACCAAGAGTAGAAATTTAAAATGAATCCAGATAATGAAGGAGGAAGTGTACCCCCAACCAGCCAAGAGCTGAAGGGCAGTTGAGCTCACTCAGATGCTGTGCACCTGCTCCATGGTTTCTGTAGCACTGCAGAGCTGAGAAGTGCTAACACTCAGCCAGCCAGGCAAAAAGTTTGTTAAGGACTGGTGATATCCCAGAGTCACTGAGTGGGGCAAAAACCCAGCGGACACCATCCGCAGCTCCCTTCCAACCAATTCCTCTATGACTGTTAAAAAAACAACAACAGACAAAAAAAGCAAGCTGCAGGAAGCTAACGTATGTCAGGCTAAATGACTGCTAGTGAGGCAAGGTCAAGGCACAGACTGCAGAACTGGCCACACTGCCTACCAGCGTGCTGCACAGCACTGGCCAGGCACTGAGCTCCCTTGGATGCTGCTGACTGCAGCAGAGCCAGAGAAGCCCACAGGCACCCTGAGTGAGGCCCCCAGCTCTGACGGAGGGCTGACAGCCTAGCCAATAACGTGCCCAAAAGCCATGTCCTGCTGCCTGCATCGGAAGCCAAAGAATGCTGTCCTCAGCCTCATACCTTTTTGTCTTTTTCTTTAGCAAAGTGGCAGGGACATGGATGCAGCTGCTACATTCTGACCCTATAAGCTGCAGCACTTTGGTAGATTCCTAGGTATCTCTGCTAAATCTCAAAGTCCACTGAGTGCCACGCAGTTCAAATGTCTCCTACATACCCCACCACTCTCTCAATTCCTAATACCACAGTTTCCTGATGTGAATAAGCAAAGACAGTATGTCAGAGGTTTGCGAGCAGCTTTTGGCCTGATGTGAAGCTAGAGCAGGACAAAGATGGCTGTAGGAAGCTGACAACTATGAAAGATATATTGATGGGCTCATCCAGTCACAGGAAGTCTGAAAGACTTAATCCAAAATAATAACTCAGCAAACACAGGTCTGTCTGCAGGAAATACTAGGAAGGACACTGCAAGCATAGCAAGGCTGCACCCCAGTGCAACAGAAAGTTCTAATTATTTGCTCTGCTTTGCTGACAAAGCATTTCCCATTGTCTGCCAGCTCCTAAGCACAGCAGGATAGAGTTCTAGGGAAGTTCAAACTTGCCTTTGTAAGCCCAAATTAGAAATTACAGATGCATTATACAAAATATTCATTATGCTGTTTAATTACAAGGCCTAGAACAAAAGTTTTATTACAAAGGAGATTGTTCACCTCTTATGAAGTAAAAGCTGTGAGAAGCACATACATGATTGCAGCAGGTTTAATATCCTGTCTCCAGCAGCAGTATTTAATGCTTCAGTGGAAAGCAATGGAATGAGAAATCCAGCCACAATTCACTGCAAGATACATGGCTCTGCTTCCCCATCCTTGCAGTCAATTTCCCCTAAGCATAAGGTTGAAATGTTGCTATATTAACAGTGCACAGCCTCTTATAAATTCATTTGACTTGTTCTCCTGAGGCAACAAGTTTCATATTGGTTTATTGGGAAAAAAGATCAACAAAACATCTCCCAAAACTACAGCCACAGTCCATTCAAAATCACAGCAATTTCAGCCTTTACAATATTTTGGACAGTAAAGAACAGCAGAAATACAGCCATGTCTAGAAATATGATGTAGAAGAGAGAGTACCACACATGCAGGTACTTCCCACATTGTGAAAATAACTGAAGAGGAGTCACTAAGGTCTTTTTGCATGTTTATAGCAATATTTATGAGTACGCTCTAATCCTCAACAGCAGCTATTACAATGGAAGTGCAGTGCCTTGGAGTTAGGACATATGCTTGGTGGGGGGCTGAGAGGAGGTGGAGACTGCAATAGAGACAGAGACACGAACAGAACTGCAACATCAAGCTCCTCAGCCCAAAGTTGGGCAACCATAGTTGCCTGAAATTGTGTTATCACCTACATTTGCAACCTCATAGCTGTGTAACTGCATTCTCAACCATTCTGTGTAAGCATTAGGAATCACTTCTTTACTGTGCTGGTACAGTGGCCTATAGAGATTGTGGAGTCCCTTGCGGGAGATCCTCACAAGCTGTCTGGTGCCCTGCTCTTGGTGTTCCATTGTGTGCAGAGCTGTAGACTTCTAGAGGTGCATGCCAACCTTAAGTATGCTTTGATTTTGCCCTTGGGAAACTCCTCAAAGCAGCACAGTCTACTTTCAATAGGTATCTAAAGTGCTCATCAGCCAGGCAGAGAAAGTGAGCAGAAAATTGTGCAGACCTGAAAGCAAAAGTAACATACAATTACTATTCAAACAGGTTCTTTACAGTTCTGAGTTACTGATTCCCAGAACAAGGAACAGGTTCCCAACAGTAACCATCCAGCTCCTGTGGTAACACACAGGGAGCCATGGGCCCTAATGCCTCCTTCTTGGTTCTGCTGTGCAAACTTGTGTCACATTCCCTAGGTCCAGCAAACAAGAGCAAGAGGGGTTGTTGTGGAACCTACATACACAGTATAGTCTCAACTAATCGCAGTTGCATGTGCTTGTTCCACTCCTTGTAATGGCACAGGGACACAGAAATAATTGATTACTGTTTGCAGTAACAGTGGCTTCCAGCTAAGAACCCCTGGAGTGTTAAGCCACTCCAATGACTTCTCTACTGTGCAGTCTTTAAATAAAATTTGCTCTCCTGAAAGACTCTGCTTATATGGCACACATCCCTTCAAAGGCATCTAAGCATTTTCAGTGTCTCAATTTTCTTCACTTCCAAGCTCCCCTAGAATAAAGGCTGCTTCTGCACACACCCAGAAGTTACAAGGGCTTGAGATGTCTGAGTAACTCACATCCAGGTCTCTCTAGGAGCTCAAATTTGGTGTTCTTTCGAGCAAGGTGTCTGAGAGCAAACAGAAAGTGGAATATGCTTTGTAACACACATCTAAAAGGAAAAAGGAATGGAAAGGTTAGGATGGGCTCAATCCCATGGGTGATGCTTACATACCTGAAGGCTGTTTGATAGAACCTAACACTTGGCAAGCTACTTGTGCACATACTGTGGCCTATGAATCTTGGCATTATTTTCTACAGTGTGCAACAGACTCATCCAGACAGGAGTTTCACCCATGATAAACAAGAGCCTGCATGCTGTGCTTGTCAAAACCTGTGCCACTGGAGGTGACCCACTGTCACCATTGCCACTGCTGAAACAAACCACCCACCACTTCACTGTGCTCACATCCACTGATTGCTCTCCACAAACGTTCAGCAAGTGCCTATGAATGTCAATAGGTACAATTTTTTCATATGTAGCGATTAAACAACACATCTTTGCTTCTCATGCACTCCCATGTCAGATTCCATTGTGTCAGACTGCTCCTCTGCTGCCATCTATTGCATGACAACATCATGGAATGGGATACCTTCTGCAAGGTTCAACCTCTACCATCACCATACCACCAACATTCACTTCTGGCATTGTGGGCCAACATATAAAACAGGAGGGCAGTACTTTCGAAGCATCCCTTATACTTGAGAAAGCATGAACATGCTGGTTCAGAGAGCGTCAGTATATTTTGTTGTAGCCTACACACTACAAGTATTTCCAGCCATTAGGATTTCACATGGGGAGGGAGTGAAGTGGCAACAACGAGACTACCAAAGGAGATGGTCAAAAGAAACAACTGCAACAACTTAATCGACCAAGTAAATACATGCTAAAAGTCAAGTCAAGGATAAAGATATAAATTCACACTGCCTCTGGCAGGAATCAATTAAGCTGGCTATTCTGACCTCCAGATATATTCTTCTGGAAACTAGCACAAAGGATTTTCTCTTTTTCTCTCATTTTCTGCCTATTTTCTTTCAACTCCTTTGCAAGTTTCATACATACCTTCATACACATTTATACTTGTGAAAAATATTTTAAAAGTGAAAACAGATAAAGAAAAGCATTGCACAATGATTCTCCGGCATCACAAACATGTCATGATATGTATGGTCATGGCTACTGAAGCCTACTTAAAATTTTAAGACTTACTTTTGGTTATTTATTACTTCTACGAAGAAACTTTAAAAAGTAAAACAAACAAAATCTTGCAGCTACTGTGGAAGGAAGTACCCTCATGCCTAGAACTTTGAGGAAAAGAACCGAAATTGCAGAAAGAAAAAAAAAGATGAGGAGTTGAATACTTAAATTAAAAATAATAATAATAACAATAATTCCCTACAGAAACTGGAAGCTGATTCAGAAATGTGGGGTTTCAAATTTTCTCTACTTTTTAATCAAAGCAAAGCCATGCGCTGTTATGATGACTGAAGGCCAGTTACAAAGGTGATGGTAAACAAAGCAGATAAAGAAATACGAGCAAGCCTTGAAGCTGGCCATTATCATGCTGCAACTATGCATCCTGCTATGTATTTGAACATGTAGCTACAGTTAGGCATCCTCTTAGCCCCCCTTTGAACAAGCCAGCATAAACAGCACTAGAGCTGTAACAGTGCACCCAGCTTCTCAGCAAAACTGATTTGCAAAGCAGAACGCTGCCCTAATACAGTCACTGTAGTACAGAATGTATTCTGAGCTTCAATATATGTCTCTGAAGTGTAAATACACACTGTTTTGGATATAAAAAATACACAGCAAAGGGTCATATGAGTGCAAAAATCATGCTATTTACCAGTTATTCACTGTGAGGCTCTGCAGATTCTTTTGCTGTTCTAACATAGGTTTCCCTTTGCCACAACCTCAAAAAATGTAATTACGCATACGCATTTAATGTGGATGTTCAATATGCCTTACCAAATATTGCGTGTAAGAATTCACAGCATGGGTATCATGAACAATAGTCTTAGTTTATTATGCACCAAATCCTGAGATATTAAAGAGCTGCCTGTGCACAGCCAGCAGCCATTTGCGTTTTAGTAGCGCTGCAGTTTGTTATACAATAGGCATGCTCAGCACGTTCCCTAATGGAGACTGTATCAACTCTCCTTTTCTTAACTCAGCATTCCAATTCCAGTTTGGCAGATCATTTTAACAGACCCCATGCTTTTGTCTTGTCACAGCCACAGCAAAACCTTTCCCAGTATCCATAAAAGCCCAGGTACAGACCTGGGACTCCAGCGGCCTTAGGTTTTCTCTGAGGGAAAACAGAGCTCTAACAGTTTACATCCTTCCAACTTCATTAACAAGCCATTTAAAACCCAGAGTGTCGTTGGTTGTTTTTTGTTGTTGTTGTTGAATATATCTGATAATTTAAAAGCAACCAAATCACCCTTAACATCTTGTTTTTATTTTTATACTAAACATTGAACTCTCTAATATCCTCACAGGACTGTGTCAAAGATTTGGGACAGCTATTAGCGGCAACATGGTGGACAGATTATTGTCTGTAGTAGCTCAAGTCACTTCTTGAAGAGATCATTCAGTCACCTATTTCTAACAATAGACTGGAAAAAAAAAAAAAGTTGGAAACTAAACAGTAGCTCAAAAATACCAGAAAAACTATTGTTTTCTCTAGCAGGAATATTTGAGGGACAATATATCAAATAGGCCCCTGTAAACAAAAATAATTTTGCTCATGGGGAGGTAACACTCAACTACTACCAAACAAATGAATATCATCTCCATGGCATGAGCACACAACAATGACTTTATTCAAAGCTTGGCCAAAATTAGTAAAAGGATGTTTAAGTGCATCTTTTTTTCTCCACAGAGTCGAGTCAATAAAACTATTTGTACTGGAAAATATACATTATTAATATCTCCTGGAAGGTTGTGACGTTTCAAAAGTATCTTCCAAAATAGCTCTATGGCTATAATAACTCAAGTTTTCATATCTAAATCAAGGCCAATGTACAACCAACGTACAATATTACTACTTGCAGGTTTAATGCACACTCGAGACGGTCATAAGGAGACATTCAGGCCTGCACAACTCACATCCAAACTAAAGGAAGTTAATATTTGCTTCTACTATTTGCCTCAATACATGGTGCATCTATGAAACCAAAATAAACAAACAAAAAAACCTGGTACATTTATTTAAAAAATCCTGCAGAATTTTAGCAATAATAGGATTTCAACAATAAACACTGAATTGAAAATTCACAAAAAAAAAAAAAAAAAAAAAAAAGATACACAATGAATTACTGAATGTAGGCTAAATATTTATATAATTTGTACAATACAACAGTTGCTAAGACTCCTCATGCCATTAAAACATATGTAGCAGAGACAATTCACCTTCTCTTCTGAAGGTAGCGCAAGGCAAAAATAACTTACTCAGTTATCAGCTAGAAAATACCACTAAATTTAATTCCAGACTTACAAAATAAAAGCATTCTGTGAAACAAAAGTAGCTTGATTGTTTATGGATGTGCACACTGTGGTCAGATCACCTGAGGCACAGTAGGAGGTTTGGTTCATAGATGTTCTCCTCAGAGATGGTTTATAAATAAACAGAAGTGCACTCATTTGTGTGGTTGCTTTTGCTTCAATAATCAGAGACTTAGTCACATATCAAATTTCTTTTAATTACTGTAAATTAAGTCTCTCTTCTGTACCCAATTCGCAGAATACTTGAAGACCATCTACTGCTCATTCAAAGTCAGCTGAAATGAGGTAATGAGTTAAAGAACTAATAAGGAAAATATGACAGATTAAAGGGACAATGTGACAGGCACAAAGGCAGCGTAACAGTCTAGACCTATTTTCTTAAGAAATCGGTCAAAATGATCAACTAAACAAAGATTTCAAATTCCTGGACTTAGTGACTGCAGCCTCACTGAATGAGATGGCTGATTTTTATAGAGTGGCACAACACACACAGTCAGTGAATTGAAACACTTCCCTGTAAGCCAGCAATTTCAGTGACTGAAAACCTCAAAAGGTAGGAGTTTTAAAGTGTGTAGTCAATTACAGTCAATCTTATCATTAGTAATTTTGTATCTTTGGCCATCAAAAAACATGTTGGTCCTTACTTGCATGAAACACTGCATTTCAACACAAGAGCACAGGAAGGAAATGTATAGTGCTACACAGAATAATATGTAAGGCTACAGACCACAATAAAGTTTATCTAAAATTAGATCCTAATTGTATTAAACTTGAATACCAACTTTCTTTGCTTTTCTGTAATACTGGCGAAAATCTGGAATCTATGGCTGAAGAGATTTGGAATCATAATAACAATGTCTAAAAATCCTATTCAGTTCAATCTATATCTCAAGTCTGAAACCTCTTCAGAAGGCTGACAGAAGACTTGCAGGTCTAGGAACATCTATGTGTCACCACATCAGCAATGAACAGAAACCGAGTTAGCCCACTGCCATGGCACTGCCTGACTTGTAAGCACGTTACGATCACTCAGCAGCACTGCTGAAACAGAACTAATTATCTGCCTCATGGTCTCCTGAAAAGCCCTGCTGTGAAGGTATGTGGCTTATACTCCATGTCCTATATACACACACATATGTAAACATATATACATATATAAATTTAAATTTATAAATTTTATGATATTTTGCTTTATAAAATCTCTGATTATTCTGTATTTTCCAAGGGATCTGACACAAAAGTTGTAATATTCTGTGATTTTTGCTTTCTCATTTCATTATTAAAGATGCTTACTTAGAAATGTGAGTGGGTGAGAGGGCCACAGTGGTGAGCAACTTAATGGAAAGCTACAAAGTCTTACCTCGAGCTGCTCTGAGCTGGGAAGGGTCGAACAAAGCCTCTGGACCTACAAGCAAAGCAAAGGGAACTCTGCAAGGTCTTGGGTTCCAACAAGAGTTGCACAGTTTCTGTCCCCACATTGTAACTGAATACACAAAGACAAAAATGTTAACTTGAGACTAGATCCACTCACTGAGTACTGCCACTGAACAGCAGCAGCAGCGTGGAGCTCGGCACAGAGCTGTGTATCTTGATTCACAGCATAATGAAGAAAATGATTTACTTGTATCTGTGCACAAAACTGATTTACCAGGACGAAGTAAAAGTGACACAACCCCAAACTCCTCTAACTTACCCTCAGGGGGCAGAATTCTGATGCAACTTACCAGTACCATGGTGGCTCATTCACTCTGCAGCCTTACCCTACATAAAAGCAGCACTTGATAGTATTTTCACATGGAAGCCCACGGACTACAGGGGATGGTGGAGCTGCAGCTGGTAAACATTTCAGTTCCTTTCCAAGTCCTTCAGAAGGTCTGCTGATTATCAGAAAACCCTAACGCATGTGATCTCATGCATTTCAGTGTTAAGTTTTCAGAAAAATCCATGTTTGTGGTTTTGAATTTAAACGTAAAAATCTGAAAACCTCAAGTAGCTCCTCTTCCTTTTTCCTGATTTCGCTTTTGGACAACTTACTCCACCTAACTCCACCTAACTTTTATGCTGACACATTTCTTTTCCTCTTCCCATTTTCCCTATTTCATTGTGAAAAGCAGAGATGAAATGATGGAGAACAGAGGTCTGAGAAATACAAACTTTCTGGGGGCTTGAGGGTAAGATCAGAAGAAAGATGGTTGTTGCAGAGAAGTACACATAAAAACAATACACTTAAAAAGTTTTCCAGACTTCTGTTGGCAATTATTCATACCTACCATTTATCACAGGTTTCATTAGAAAATTGTATCCATACTTATGGAGAAATTAAAGCGTTAATTAAACTGATCTGAGATAAAAAAGTAAGTAAATTTCTCTGGTTTGTGTGCATTTGCAGATGAGACCTATCTGCTGCTTTCACAGAATTACAGGGGAAGGGATGGGATCTCAAGAGATCATCAAGTCCAACTCTCCAGCTAAAGCAGTCACCCCTACATTACTTTGCTACATTCAATCCCCTTCTTGGTCAAAAAACCTACAAAATAGCAATGAAGCAACTTTGAAGATGGTGTTTGGTGATACTTGACTGAGAAAATGCCACATTCATAAAACCTAATTTTTTTTTTGGCATCCTTATTGGGTCAGAGCTAGGATGAAGATCCTAGCAGGCAGACTACGTGTACATTCATACTTTAAGGGCTTTATTCATCCTGCAAAGGATTACACTTGCCTTGCTTCAACAAGACTTCCATCTGCTTGCTTGGGGGAAAAAAACCCTTAAAAAAAAAAACACAACCAAACCTTAAAAACCCTAAACACGAGGTTCAGTTAGCAGAAGTATCTTTTAAGAGCAAGTTTGAGTTTTAAAGAGCAGAACCTCTTATCACTGTTTTGGAAAAAATACTTAAGTTTCAGAATGAATTACCAAATATTCTCCATTATGTGTCCTACACCATGACTTAAACATCTCCAATTAATGCTAAACCTTATTATTACATCTCTAATTACATCTACTGAAATCAACATGTTTTTCAGCAAAAGTTCCTCTTTTCTATAAACAAGTTAGATCAAATATCTAAGACACTAAACAAGGTAAGTACTACACATGCTCTAAACTGAAACATTAAACACCAGATGTGGACTTCCCAGCTTTTGAATAAATAGGGAGCAGCAGAATCAGTGTTGAATTTTAGCAATTCACGAGGGCAGAACCACGTTTCTATCTCTATAACACTGCATGCAAGAGGAAGACTTAATTCTATTTATGATGTTTAAAGGAGATCAACATCCGGCATTCAGACTGTTTTTATAGACCATAGTTCTAATGGGATTCAAATCACAAAGCGTTTCAGAATTACCATAACTTGGCATCAGACCAGGACACCTGCTTGCTTCGGGAGGTTTTGGGATTTTTTCTTTAATGTTCTTTAAATAACTCAATACATGGAGTGCTTTAGAGCATGAATGTCTGAACCAAGAAGATTCTGTCCACAGGAAAACTGTCTTTTTGATCCTTTGTGCACGGATGGAAAAGGCAGGCCTGTGTCAGATCAGTGGTTCCTTCAGAGCAGTGAGGAGGCAGCTCCGATGGTCCTGCTGGTATTCAGCACTAGCTGTTAAGAGTTTCACTTACGTACGTACTGACTGTAAGAACCTAACTGCCTCGTACATCTCAAAGCCCACTGTAAAAAACAAACACAGCAATTATATAATTGCACGAGTATACATTACGTTCTCCATTTAGTTCAGAGGAACAAGTTGAGTGTGTGTCACAGGGCTGGATACGCACACCACACACAGCACTGTGCGAGCGGCTCACTAAGCACACTGCAGGCTGATGGAAGGGCTACAAGGCAGCCACTGTATCACACCCTTTGTGATCTATTGTCTGCAGTATACAGCCTGTTTGCTGACAGATGCCGAGCTGTACAGTTTTTGATTCTGTATTAATTTGAACATGAGAAACACAGTAACACAGCGATCGGCTGTGTTACTGTGTTTCTCCTAGCAGTACTTAAAAGCAGAGAACTTCGCATTTAAGAACACCAATCTTTTTTAAAGGAAAAGCGCAGAAACTGTACGTCCCCTGCCAAGGAGTCACAGGTCCAGGCTCCCTCGGAGCAGCGCCCATCCCTCCGACAGGCGTCCGCAGCGCCGTTCGGGGCCGCCCGGCCGCGCACAGGTAAGCTCCCGTCGCCCGCAGCCGCACCGCTCGGCACGGCCCCGCCCCCCGCTGCGGGGCACACCGGGCTCAGCCCGCCGGGACGGCTGCAGCGCCCCCACCGGCGGCGGGTCCGGGCCCCCGCGGCAATGCCCGCACGCCCCGCCCCGCGGGAGCCCGCCTGCCGCCGCGGTTTCCAGGGAGATACGCACGCCCCTGACCTCCCGCCTCTGCGACAGCAGAGCGGGCCTCCCGCTTCTTCTTCGCCTTTTTTAATTCAGTAGGGCCGCGACGTGGGGACGGAAACGACGGCAGCGATTCCTGCACAGGCGCGGGAACGCGGTGCGGCTGCGGCGGGCAAACGGCTACGGATGAAGGCGCCGCTCGGTCGAAAGCCCGACCCGGCACGGCGGCGGCGCCCGGCCTGGAAAGGATGCCCCGTGCCGCGTTCTGTTCCTCCGTTACTCCCTCTCCTCGCCGAGCGGCTCCCCCCAGGCCGGGTCCGGCTCTCCCGGGCGGCGCCGCAGCCTCACTCACCCGAGTGCTGCAGGTGCGCGGCCGTGGAGACAGACGTGCAGAAGGGTTGCGCAGGACTTGTGCCCGGCAGGATAAGATGGAGATGTGGCACATCGGTGCTTCGCCTCACCGGATTTCAAAACGTATAAAACCGATGTACAGATACCTGAGTTACTGAGAGAGATTGATGCCTGCTTGAAAACGATAAGATGTATTCTGTCTTAAACAAGAGTGGAATAAACGCAGAAGGAGGCAGCGGATCGTCCCTGTGCACACACAGCTGTGTTAAAAATCATACGAAACACCACATCCAGACTTGTCTCAGAAAAAAAATGAAAGAAAAATCCCAAAGCAGTCCGATATGCTCCACCAACCATATGACCTCAGAGCAAACGTAAACACTACACATTTCCTATCGAGACAGAATTAGTCTTGAATGCCTAGCAAAATAATAGGCTGTTGTTATTAAATATTTTATGATATTGGTAAATGATCCATCCAGCATACATTTAATTTCACTTGCAACCCAGTTTTCATGCATAATTAAAGTTTGACTTGCATAGGAATAACACTAACAGCGCTATTAGGGTGCATCTGGTCACCGAGCGCACACAATGTCTTGGAATCACACTGTGTGCAGCCTTCCCAGACCACCTCACCCGATGTAAGAAAATACCTGGCTTCACTAAAAATAAGGAAATAGCAAAACCGCCACTTAGATTTTAAACACTGAAGGGTGAGAATAATCTGTAAAAAAAAAACAAACAAACAAACAAAAAAAAAAAAACAAAAAAAAAACTGACCTTTTCAAATTGCTGTTTTTCCAATCCATGCACTGTTTTTATTAATTAGGAACCAACCCAGACCGACCGTCACTTTATAACGTCTGACATATTCCCTGTCCTCCCGGTGCAGCAGATCCTCCCGCGGCTCGCAGCCCCGCCGTGCCGGTACCATATGCTTTATTGTTCAGCGAGCAGCGCAGCGCCGCGCACAAAGCCCCATTACCTACTGCTGCCGGCGCCGCTCGCTCACTGAGGCTGCCTGTGCGATCACATGGGAGCGCTGCCGGAGGAAGCCAGGCATGCCACTCATCTCACTGACTATGGATTATTTTTTTTCCACACCCCTTCCCCCCATCAGCTGAAGTCTGCTATGAGGAAGGAATAACAAGTCCTAAAGCTTCTTTAGCTCGTGCAGGCAGCAGACGCCATGGAAAACCCCCTCAACTTTTTATTATTATTATTTGTAATTATTATTCCTTTTGTAACAAAAATTCAGGTAGACATTCGAAGGAGTTTTTAAGTCGTTTTTCCTTGCGAGCAGCAGCGAAAACCTTGCAGCGTCTGCAGTACTGCACACACACTGCCATTAATATTCTAAAGAAGTAATATTTTGCCAACACGTTTAATCTGCCGGTGTTTATCCTTTATGTGGAGGATGAGCGTCTGAATGAAAAATTGTTCCTAAAAAGCAGCCCCTTGATTTCAATTTGTCTCATCCAAGGGCATTATCCTGCTATCTCTGATCATAAAATTAGTTTTGCTGGTTTCAGTGCAACCGTTCAGGTGAATAAGAATTGGCCATTTGAGCAAGGATTATTCCCAGAGCAAGATGACAAATTATACAGCGCAATGAAGTCTGATCCCTTCTGATATTGTGTGTGATGATGCTCAGGTTTGGGTTGGCTGGTTTTGTCTTTTTTGTTGTCTTTTATTTTAGACAAATTTTAAATT